TTTTGTCTTTAAATTTGAATTAAAAATTTTAGGTCACAATTCTATAATATAATTTACAAGGAACTGACTTAGATATTTTTATTATCATTTTTTTTCTCTAACTTCTATAAAAAATTTTAAAAAATAAAAAGTATTTGTTGGGCCCACTTAGGTCCGGGACCGGCCCACTTAACCCGGGACCGTTAGTTCGTGGTCCCGGTCCCGGGCCGGTTCCAACAAGAATCCCGTGAAGCCCGAGACCACTTAGGACCGGGACTATGAAGCCCACTTAGGACCGGGCCCAGCCCACATGCCACCCTTAGGGGGAAAAAAACTGGCTAAAAGGAAAGAATTCTCCCATGCCTAAGGTTAATTAGAAATAAATCTGTCAAAAGCCTGATCAGGTAATTTGAACTAGCAGCTGTTCTTTAACAAACCATGGTTGGAGAAAACTAAATGCAGCTCAACAATAAGAAGACCACTGATCTACTAGGAGTTGTATCCCGTCACTTCCAAAAGTATTATGGTTATGCAAAATGATGAGCACTCAAAAAACACAAGCAGCGGAATTTACTTGTATAAGTGAAAGTAATAACATCTATAAAAAATCAATGAGGAAGGAATATTAACATCTACACAATGTAATTAAATAAGCTGAAGATAGATGCATACACTATAGCAGAAACTGCACGACAGTATCTTTCCCACATACTGCGGAATCTGGGTTGACCTCCAAGGTCCCACAATTTTATAGTCACATTTCCTTTAGTCACTTTCCGCATGTTAAATCCCACCTAAACATCCAATAGATTTTGTATTATTATCACAGATAAAAATGACGCATTAAAGTTGAAATTGGATTTGGCTTACGACTAGGAGCTAGGAAGATGACAACTTACAGTTGGTATCATGTCTTCACTGTATCCACCAGTCTAAGAATAACAGGTCGAACAAATATGAATAAGGCATCAGATTCCATCATAGTACATGGAAGCAAAAGGATACGAAAAAAATAAGCATACAAGAACAATCACTACTTATCTACTTACTGCAATGACATTTACAAGGGATGTTTTTCCTGCATTCTGCAGCCCTATCAAAGAAAGCTCCATTTCCTGCTGAAAGAAGAGGCTGAAGGAAAAACAAGTTTAATGAGCTGATATGAGGAGTCTTTTCATAAGAGAAGGGGAGGCAAAGTAATCAAATTACAAGTGCATATGCAAACGGCAACTCCGGCTCGTGTTATAAGCCCTTTGAAAATAAAGATACAATAACTTCCAGTTCTCAAACTTTAAGCCACAGTCGAAAAGCTGAAGTAACAATTACACACAAAGGCTAAGCCGAGGGACAGAAAACAAATAGCAAGTAAGAGGTCCAGGTTGAGCAACACAGAGTGAAACTACTAAGACATGATGGATAGAAAATAATCGAAGATCTGCCAACAATTAGTCTGCTGAACCAGTTCATCTCCCGAGCCAACCCTTCGAGCTCTGAAAGTTCAGGCATAAGATGGAAGCACACAGCACACCCTCAACTGCCAAAAATCTATAAAAGGAGTGGGGCCACCAAACATTTATTTATAGATATATTTCACATTCTCACCTTTGGTCATCTAGTCCTTTTGCTATAGAGGTGTCCAATAGGTGAACTGACAGATCATTCGTCACCCACACAGATAAATAATGCTTCTAGTGAGAGAGAGAGAGAGAGAGAGAGAGAGAGGGTGCAGGGGATGAGTCTGAACAATGACTGAAATACATTAGGAAAGTTGACAAACCATATTGCTCTTGATCCCCTTTTCCACAGGTTCGGCTCTATCTGTGTGTTTTTCATGTCATTAACTTAGAAATATAGAGTTTTGAATCGAATCTATTTAGAAATAAGATCTTTTTTCTCATGGTAGCCTGCTCCAGTCCCTTTACAAAACTTTTGTTATTGGGTTATCCACACACTTCACATGTTTCTAGCGACTCATATGGCATCATCAAATTATACAAGTCTTGCATAAGAATCTACAATGCACTAGAACACCCTTGTTGACGATCCTTTACTCTTTCTAAGATATGAGACTATGTGATCACCACAGTTCTCCAAGTTTCCCGATAAAAAATTCACTGTAGAGCCCTAGTCAAAATCAAAAATGTGTCTATTGTCAATAACAATTAACGCCAATCACAAAGAGTTGCAGCCTCATCTCATTCAAGTTACTGAAACAAATGGGAGAATAGAACACAAGTATTAGATATCATAAATCAACATTCAACTCATAAAACTGGTAATTCCAAATCACCATAGCACGAAAAAGTTCCCTTCAGAGGAATTGTTTGATAATGATCAAATTAACAATAAGGAGCTCGCAATTATTTCAATTGTTACTACATATAAAGAGTGAGGAGGGAGTAGGAGAAATTACATCAATCAATCACTTAACTCTCAATCCCAAACCAGTTGAGTTGAAGTTCACTATATTATGAATCTTTTATATCTTATTCCACTCTATTTGGAGCCATGAAGGAGATTGATATTGCTCTCTCTGTTCCAATTTACGTGACATAATTTGATTGCGCATAAAGTTTGAAAAAAAATAAATTAAACTTGTGATTTTAAATATGTCAAAAAGCAAGAGATTGGAAACATACCTTCGAAGCCAATTGAGCAAAGCTTCCCAAAGACCCATGGCTAACGCGAGGGTTCGTAAACGAGAGCGAGAGAGATCTGTAAAAATGTCAATATAGCTGAGAAATCTCTCTCTCTCTCTCTCTCTCTCTCTCTCTCTCTCTCTCTCTCTCTCTCTCACACACACACACACACACACACACCCAAAAAAACAATGTTTCTGTCTATTTTTCTTTCTTCAATTGAACCTTTGGGAAGAATCGTAATCGTACATTGGCGATGGAATCAGATGATTATGATAGAAGATAAAGCGAGAGTCACGGATTTGCCCTTTGAATAACATGAATTTACGGGACAGCCATTGCGATTGTCGAATGTATTTCACTGTAGGTGTGGGACAATACAACTGGCTAATTAGAGTTTAATTTCGATTGGTGGGTAAATTACCAAAATTGTTGGGCGGCCCCACTATTCTCTGTTTTTTGTCCTGCATTTTGATTGGTCTCCAATGGAATAATTGTTTTTCTTTTTTTAAACGAAAAAACTACAAGAATAGCCATAAACATGCAATACTTACCAACCAATTAGCCATTAAGTCATACTACCAAAATTAGCCCTAAAAAATTATTAATAATATACAATATTCAACAAATCTAAGGAAAAAAGTTTTTTTTTTAATGTGTATGGTTGGGATTCGTCGAAAACATATAAATAGGACAATATACAAATTTTTAAGAAGGATTAAAGGTGATTGTGATTGGTTTGGAGTCAAAATCATTATTAATGATATACAACATGCAAAAACCTAGGCAAAATAGTTTTTTTCAAAGGGTATGGTTAAAATTTATTGAAAACGCAAAGATGAAACAATATATAAATTATTAGGATGATTGGAGGTGATTTGGATTGGTTTAGAGTCAAAAATCTTACTTAAAATCGAATTTATAAATTTATTTGCGACATATGTATCTAACATGTACCCCACATATATATACATGGATATACATGAGATACACAAAAAATACATATTTAATTCATGTGGGAATATACAAATAATACAACTGAGATACATAGCGAGATATATATATCATCTTCTTCCATGTACCTCTTCTTCTTTTTGGAATTCGGCTCAAATTTCAATTCAACCCACTTTCAAACTCCACTAGATCATCCTAAAATTAAGATTCAAAGAGTAGACAAATGAGACATATAAAGGACCTTTTCTTTGTATAAACCATGAAGTTAGACAATATCTTAACTCAATGCAAATAATTTCTCGAAATTCGCTGTTGAATTAGATAATTAATAATACTAATAGTCTTTAAATCATTTTTAATATAATACTAATGTAATTGTACTTTGGGGGGGGAGGGGGGGGGGTTATAAGAAGCATACATAACAAATTGCGCTAATATTGATAGCATTTTATGACAATTAACTAATATTGATAATATTTATACTGTTAAGGGCCAAACTGGATAGTTCGTTCTTTTAAAACTTTCTTTCCTAATGATGTGATGATAAACAAAAGACGCTACGATATTTTGCAAGATTGAAACCTTACATCAAATCAAAGTAGTGCAAAGTATGTTATATTCACATTGCACTATTTGGATTCTTACTTAGGTCTTGATTTTAGTTTTAATCCAAGATCTCATCCTTAATCGTGTTTTGTGTTGTTAATCTTAATTCACATTTAAGATAGACTATAAGGGACTGTTTGGTAGGATATATTAGGGAAAATAATATATGTATTAGCTTTAATGAAATGAAAAATGTATAAGTACCCTCGACCGAAGTTTCAATTACACATTTTCTATACCCCTCGAACTATTCTAACATGGAATAAATGTCTTCTTGAATTGTTATGACAAGATATTTCTTGGGAGGTGAAACACACTCGCATACCATGTGTATATTTTATTACTCCTTTCTTCTCTCATTATGTTCCAAGTTTTGATTTATTATTTTATTCTTTCATGACTAATAGCAACAACATGACAACAATGAAGACCAAAATTTTAATTTTCCGATTTCGATTTTGGTTCAAAAGATGATGTTCCCATATGATAATATTTTTAGCATCGTTACTACCGATTTTGTAAGGAAAGAACTGTATATTTTCAAAAAGAAAGGAAACAAATATTAGTTTAAGTTTATGTCATAATTAATTAAGCGTAATATCCAATAAAAAGATGACACTTGTACATACAATCAACTTTAAATTTATTTTTTTGCTAATGCAAAAATAAGAATAAACCATAGAATTTTGAGAAATAGTCATTTAACATAATGGTATTGTAAATAGAGCCCAACGCCTTTCAATGGTGGCTTTGTCGGAAGAAGAAAAGAAATAAAAGACAAAAGACTTTTAAAAAAAAGAGTAGTAAGTAAATGTTTTGGCATCTCACACTCTCTTTGAGACACTCTCTCTTTGATATAGTAAAACACACAATTTGCCCGGTCAGTATTTAGGGTGGCAATAATTCCACTGCAAAAAAGCTCATAGGTGTAATAAGACCACCGAAAAGGTAAAGTGTATAATTGAACTTTGGTCATATATTTGAGGGGATACTTATGCCTTTTCCAGTATTATTAATCTACAGTTTGGTAGTGTCTTTTAATATATGTATAACTAATACCTTTATTAGTTATATACCATATTCAGTATTATTACATACATAGTAAACTATGACATTAGTAATACCATAATTTTTAATAAATGGATAAGCATGTATAAAGATAGAATTGCCCTATCAAAACCTTTAATAGACCAAACCAAACAATTGATAAGAAATAATCATATCTTAACTAATCTCAGCATAACTAATTATAACATTACTAATATTCCATATTCAATATTAACAACCCCAAGGGCTGGCCAGACCCTAAAGCAAGGCCCCAAGAATTTAAGGGTCCCAAAATTACTATTTCTCAATATATAGTATAGTATAATTTATATAATTATTTCTTATTGTTGATAATTTTGTTTCTTTTCATATTAGTGTTTAATAACTTAATTTCTTCCTCTAATTAATGTAACCAAAATAGTTTTCTGCCAATCTTATTTTACGTATTTACTGAATTATTTTTCTCTATTCATTAGTTAGTCACATAACTATATCTAATAATCTAACTTATCATTTATTTTTCTCGTATAAATTATACTCCCCCCTCCTCCCCGAGCCCAATTTATATGAAGGTATTTGACTAGACATGAAGATTATGAAATAAAGAAAGACTTTTGAAACTTGTGATTTAAAACAAATCATAGGAACTTGTATGGCTAGAAATCATCTCATTAAGGATAAAAAAAAAAATTAAAGTTGAATTATTACCAAATATAAAAAGGGGACTAATTAAAAAAAATATCACATAAGTTGGGACGGAGGAAGTATATTTCTGGGTTCTCTCATTTCAGTTGTGATGCAATCAATGTTAAGTTAGTTTGTACTTTATAAAACCAAGTTCTCATTTTTTCCATTTCACATACTCGACTAATTTTTCAAACAACGATGCTATACATATATATACAAAAAATCTCTTATTAAGGCTTTGCTTTAGGAAATAAGTATTACGTGTAGTTCGTGCAAATAACAAGAGGCTGTTTTCGACAGACCCTCGGCTCTCTCCCTCCAAGAATTTTCTACCTCGCTCTTGAGGTGACTCGAACTCACAACCTCTTAGTTAGAAATGGAAGGTGCTCGCCACTAGAGCAACTCACTCTTGTCTGATAGTTTGTGCAAATACTTAACAAGATTTGCTCAAATTATATATACTAAAAAGAAGTTAAAAATATCATTGGCTACTTCATTGGCGCTAGATGCGCCTTTGCACTAGTTAACTTAAAAATCCAACTACCACCAAATGTATTTAGAATGAGGGATATTTTCTTACCCTTAATAGAAGCTTTGAGTTTGAAGTTAAAAAGATTTTAATTCAAAGTTTAAACTAGCGTTTGGATATAGATTTGATTGAAACTTAAAAAAAGAGTTTTTGAAGTTGTGGTGAAAAATAATTTTTGAAAGTTGAAGTTATATTTGGACATGCATTTTATTTGAAGAAAAGTTAAAATTTTATAAGTGGAAGAAAAAATTTCACTCAAAAACTGCCCTAAACCAAAATTTGGGAACTTGAAAATTTTTAAATTTTTTTCTCCAAAACATCTCATATTTAATGTTTTTAATTTAAAAAAATAAAAAAATAAAGTCAAAATATATGAACAAACTGGAGCAAAAAGTTCAATGCCTATGAACGAAGAACCTTTTTATAGGGAGTTTTTATTCTTGGGGCCCAAAATGGAATTAGATTCACTAGTAGGCAGTATGAAACAAAAAGAAAACTTCAAATTCCAACAGCCTTATAGCTTGTTTGGCCGACCCGAAAAAATCAGTATATTTTGAGAAGTATTTTTTTAAAAAATCGGAAAGAAACGATTTGTGTTTTGGCTAATCACTCTAAAAATCACGTTTGAACAATAATTTGTGTTTGGCCAAACTTTTTAAAAAGTATTTTTAAGTATCAAATTACAAATAAGGACATGAATAGATTTATTTAATAGTTAATATTATTAGTAAATAAGTAATCTCAAAAATTTATTATTACAGGTAATAATTAAATCTTTTCATTTTATTTAAGTAAAATATGAAAATAAAATTAAAAAGTACTTTAATTCTTTTAATATTATTCAAATATATTAAAAATCATTCACCCCTAAAGTTACTATATATTAGAAAATTATCCTAAAAATAAGAAAAAATATTTATACATTAATATCTTAAGTATTAGATTTAACGGTTATTTTGGTATATACAATATTTTGTTAAGGATATTTTTGGTAAGAAAAAAAGTCAAAACTACTTCAACTTTTATTTTTGGCGGAAGAAACTACTTTTTTACGCTTATCAAAAACTGCTTATTCTTCTTCCCAAAAGTATTTTTTTCTACCAAAAATTTTGGCCAAACACCCTAAGTTAAGAAAACAAAGTGTTTTAGGGAAAAAAAAATACTTTTGGCCTTTGGAGAAACTTGACCTAACGTGCTATTAGCCTTGATAAAATTATCAACAAGAGTGTTTACACCAATTTAATAAATTAATTATACATATCTTTACAAGCATGAGTATTTAATAAAACCATGTTTTCACATAAGTATATTTTATTTTATTCGCAACAAAATATTCTTCTTAGGGAAAATCCCATGTATGTACTAATTTGGGAAACTTTTTGTGTGTGTAAAGTTTAGAGAAAGTGCTGAAGAGAGAGGGGAAAGTAGAGGGCCGACACAGGAACTTTGGTCTGAAGTTTCCTTCGTCATCATTATTATCCTCAAAGTATTCATGAACATTAATTCAAGATCCAACAAAAACACTTGTACTCAACCTCCCTTTATTCTCTTTGTTTATTGGTACAAGAATTCACCGGAATAAGTAACCCAAAATTGGGTTCTTTTGAAATTCTATAGCTTATTTTGTGAAAACTCTATACAGAAATGAAATACCCCAAAATGGTTTCTTAACAACTTATATCACTAGATGTTTTTGTGAAATTCATATACCCAAAAGGGATTCTTGAGGACTGATTTTCTGAAAATTCAAATACACAGAACTTGATGATTAGTTTAACTTTTGCTCAGCAGAGTAAAGATTGCTGTTTGAGCTGACACGAGCATTTACCAAAGAAACATATGTCGAGAGACTTTGTTCAATCCACGACTAGGCTGTGTTCTGGTAAGTTTTTTCTTGTAGTTTGTTTGGCTCATATTTTTCTGAGGTTGGCCCAATGGTGTTTGTGGATTTATGTTATGCCTATTTGGCCGGGTTAGTTTGTGTGCTACTCGAAAAATAGCTAGCTAGCTTTTGCACATAGATTGTTGTGTTTTGACCTTCATTTTATTTGATAACACGCTCACGATTTAGGAGAGAGAAAAAATTTAACCCAAAAATTGCCCTAAACTAGTTTTTGGGAACTTAAAAAAAAATTTAATTTTTTATTTTTTTTTCAAAAACTTATCATATTCCATGAACAAACAATATTTTCAAAAAATAATTTGAAAAAAAATTGCCAAAATCTATGGCCAAACCGGAGTCTAGTATCTTCGACCTGAGAGGAAATCACTGAACCTTTTTTTGTCTATCAGGATTTAAACCCTGGTCCTCTGTGGTGTTTATTTTGGATCTTTAGCCGAACAATGTTGCTTTTCTATGGTCTCTGCTGAAAATTTTGTTTTTAGATTAAAGATAGTTCTTATAGTTATTCCTATACTGGCATTAAAATTGCATACTTTAGATGATATTCTTGGTTAGTGTAATATTTATCTAAAAAAAATTGGTTAGTGTAATGCTTGACATGAATTTATTCCAATCCGTTAAGATAGGGTTGATTTTGGTAATTTTCTCATCTGGTTATCATTTGCTCCAAAGATGTCATTAGCTGTTGGGACAAAACTGGATAAAAAAATATAAACTTGGAGGCTGTTTATGTTCAGTGTCAGATAGATCAACTCTTGAACTTAAGGGACCATTTAGGTCAAGAACTCATTGATTACACTTGTATATAGTGTTTTAAATGTCTCATCAATTATCTTCTTATGGACTCCAGGACACTCGATGCACTTTTTCATTTTCTGGCTGTTCACTTTTTTATTCATACAAGTTTTGCACTTTCATATATGATAAACTAGTAATGTTTGCCGAGATATATATATTGTATTGAGATGTGTCCTTACATTCATGAGCATATGCCTGTTGTCTCAATTATGCGCCACATATATCTTTTGTGGTTGTGACTTTAGCTTGGATTTCCGTAGCTCTCATTTTCTTAACTGCAGAATTTTGTTGATAAAAAGGGTACATCGTGAGGTCAAGACCAAATCCAGGAAATCAACCTTTTTACGTTGCAATGCAGGGGGCAGATTGTTTCCAATTGTCATATGGAGCCTAGTAGGGTGCCTTATTTTACTTCAGCTGTGCTCCTTTACTTATCAAAGAAATGTGCAAAGCGGCGGGACTCACTTAAGTATAAGCCAGCAGACACAGTTTCGGGAGCTTGAAGAGGTTGAGAAGGAGAATATACAGCTTCCACCACCCAGGAAGCGATCCCCACGTGCTGCCAAACGGAAGCCTAAAAGGCCAACGACCTTGATTGATGAATTCCTAGACGAGTCTTCCCAGCTAAGGCATGTGTTTTTCCCTGGTCAAAGAACTGTTGTGGATCCTAGGAAGAACTATGGGAATGATACCTATTGCTACCGGCCAGGAAGAATGTGGTTGGATACTGAGGGAAACCCTATACAAGCTCATGGGGGAGGCATTCTTTATGATTCAAGGACAAAAATGTATTATTGGTATGGAGAATATAAAGATGGCCCCACTTACCATGCTCACAAAAAAGGAGCAGCAAGGGTAAGTTTCAGAATGGTGCATGGTTATGGGTTAATCAGTTTATATTAGTTAATGCCAATTTACTCCGTGTTTTCCAGAACTTCAATTCTACATCTTGTTCCCTAGGCCCTTCTCCTCTCTCTTCTCTTATATTGTTTGTGCTTGAATAAACGATACTGAAAATGAGAACAAAAGAAGACCTTCAGCCATTCCAAGAGCACTCTTTAAACAGAAATCATCATGGCTTTGTCTTGCTCGTGTTCTTTCTTAGACAGTAACGAAAATATTCAGTTACGTTGCCGCATTCTGTCCTAGAGCTCATATGGTCCTTTCCTCCATTCTATTGGTTAATGATTCATCGGCATATTTATGACTTCCTTTCCTCCATTTTCTATAAGTTTATGATCCATTAGTGTGCTTTATGAAATAATATGACAATTATGCAGTAAATAGTATTTTTTGGGATAAGATTATCATCTATTGGTTCTCCCTATTCTATTATCAGTCTGAATGCTCTTTTAGTTGATTCCATCTGTTGATAAACTTACACTCATGAAAGCTGTGCAATTGATACACCGAGCCACCTTTTAGGTTCTCAAGCATGTTTCTTATCTTTTAGATGTCAGCAGCTCGATGGCCTTGTATGCTCTTTATGGGTGTTTTAAAGCAATGACAGTGCTCTGTAAAAAGAAAAACCTATTTGCTTCTCCAAAATTGACAGGGTAAACTGAATAGGAAAGAAGAAGATGATAGACTGAATGAGAATGAAAAGACATGGAGGCATTTTAGTATTCCGGTCAGATAGGATGATAGATGGAATAGGAAGAAATGAAAAGAAAAGGAGAAATGGCAGAACAGAGTGAATATGAAGAGAGATTTATGTGTCTAGGATCCCATGGTCTATGATATCAGTATCCTGATCAAATAAAATCATTGTAGAAGAAGAGATTATTTGCTGTTTGTCCCTGAAAACCTTAAATCGAACATTATTCCAGGCCTTTTTAACTGCTGAAACTTAAGAGATTTAACAATTGAATTTGGAAGATAAGTTCTATTGTCTCTTTGCCTCATCGACTTACCCTATGAATTTGTGAGTTGTAACTTGATTATGGTAGGAGATGGATTTTCTCTCAAAAATTCCCCCTTATTGCAGCTGTGTCTGCAATTATAGTCTAGTAATACTGAGGAAAAGCATTACGGAAGTGCCTGCCTATGAAGATAAAAGGTACAGCACCTTATAGTCAGAAATAAAGGAACATGTACTAGTTTTGTGCTTAGGTTGTAAAGTCTCTCATTTTTCATGCTAAAATGAGATAACTTGCTAATCCAAATGTATGCATTCTTGTTGTGCCAGTTAGGACTTTAGGAATCATTGGCAGGTAGGATATGAGCATTGGAAAATGTGTTCGGGAATCTCAGACATGGTAGAGATATAGTTCTCAGGCAACTGTGACATATATGAAATGTGACTTAGTTGTTGTTAATGTTGATCATGATTAGACTAGATTTTTCTGATGTCGACCAAAATTTTGCACAGGCCATGAAGTGCTTTAGTGAAACCATGACAATATATTTTATGTGCATAGCCCATTATAAAACCTTCCTGATCTTCTTTTCCTCAAATACTGTTGAATCAGGTAGGTACTGGGAATTCATTAGTTCCTTCAAAAATGATGTCTTATCCATTATCTGACATTGGTGGTCATATCAGCTTTTTTGACTAAGGCCAAATATCTTTTCTTTGTCGATAATCATTTGTGCCTTAACATTTGCAGCTTTTCATCTCCGTGCTTTTGTCTTTCAGGTTGATGTCATTGGTGTCGGTTGCTATTCATCAAAAGATTTGTGGACATGGAAAAATGAAGGCATTGTTTTAGCAGCTGAAGAAAAAAATGAGACACATGATTTACACAAATCGAATGTGCTAGAGAGGCCAAAAGTAATTTACAATGAGAAGACAGGTAAATACCTAATGTGGATGCATATTGATGATGCGAACTACACTAAAGCTTCTGTAGGTGTTGCCATTAGTGATTTCCCCACTGGCCCCTTCAATTATTTGTATAGCAAACGACCTCATGGATATGATAGTAGGGACATGACACTCTTCAAAGATGATGATGGCGTTGCATATCTTGTCTACTCATCCGACAAAAACAGTGAGCTTCATATTGGTCCACTTAACAAAGATTATGTAGATGTAACTGAGACAGTGAGAAGGATTCTTGTCGGACAACACAGGGAAGCACCTGCTCTATTTAAGCACCAAGGGACATATTACATGATCACGTCCGGCTGCACTAGTTGGTCTCCGAATGAGGCCCTAGCTCATGCATCCGAATCGATTATGGGGCCGTGGGAGACCATTGGAAACCCATGCATTGGCGGGAACAAAATATTTCGGCTAACTACTTTCTTTGCTCAGAGTACATTTGTGCTTCCATTGCCCGGAATACCTGGTCTCTTTATTTTTATGGCTGATAGGTGGAATCCGGCTGACTTGAGGGATTCGAGGTATGTGTGGTTACCATTAACAGTGGGCAGGCCGTTAGACCGTCCTATAGAGTACAATTTTGGGTTCCCTTCGTGGTCTAGAGTGTCAATATATTGGCATAAGAAATGGAGACTTCCTTATAGGAGGTGAAAAATGTAAATAGGGGTTTTACACTCTGATTTCTTTGTAAAATATGTTTTCTTTTCTTTTCTTTGTGTTTTTTAATATTCTTCCACATCATGTGTTGTAGTTAATATTGTTGATTTTTGAAAAGATCATCATAGGTGTAAGTATGCAGAGGCTGGACCCAACATTCATTATATGTAAATGTAATGTACACTGTAATTTCTTCAGCTGTAATCATTTTTTTCTGAGTGAAAGTGAAACCAGCTCCGTCATTTGTTTGTTCCCCTGTTAATCTCTTTACACAATGTAGTTTCTGTAAAATTGTCAATGTAGATAGAAAATGTAGAGATCTTCTAATGTTAAGAGAAACTAAAATTTTATAGTATCAGACTGAGACTATATTAATTGGAGTGATCTGAATTGTAAAAATACGAATAGCCGACCTGACCTAAACTTGCTTGGGATTGAAGCGTAATTGGTGTTGTTTTGTGCATCGTTAATACAACTTCAATTGACTATATAATAGAACTAGAATGTGATATTTAGAAATCTATCCAACACTATCTTTGGTTGCACCATGCATGAGAGTGAAGTTAAGGCTAAATGAGTAAGAGCACATTGATTTATTTTTGTTATTGGACTATGTGTACTGTGTCATTTGCTTCATGGCTTGTTACAATTTCAAATAACACTATTCTCGATTATAATTTTCCCAAACAATTTTTAACATTCAATTATAAGAACTAGTTATGGTGTCTCTTAGTACTCTCTCTACTCCACTCTTTCATTTTTCGTTTTTTTTTTTTCAAAAACAATAGTGATATATTTATATTGGAAGCCCTTTCACTTTAAATTTTTAATTTTACATTACTGATGTATTTTTATAGCTATAGAAATATCATGTGATGTTTAAGATCACAAGTTTTAAAAATATTTTTGGTACATGCTAGAAGTCTTTCTTTTTTAAGTTTTGTGCCTAGTCCAATATAAAATGAATCGACGAAAAACCTTTTTGGGGAAGCTAAATTTTCTGGTTTCTACTTGCAAGCTAAAAAGCAACTTCTCCTATTACTCAAAAATACCTTTCTTCATAAAAAAAAAAAAACTTGGTCAAACACCTCTATTTTCTAATAAATATTTTTTCCAAAAACAAAATATGCAATTTTGACCTTTTAGAAGTGTCACGACCCAATTTTTCCCTATAGGCCGTAGTGATACCCAACGTCGCCGCTAGGCAAGCCAACGGTGAACTAGTCATGTATTTGTTCGCTTTAATAATTTCAAAGTAGTTGATTTTTATTTATTAAGAAAATGATTAGTGGAAAATTATACTAAAGTAAAGCAAAAACTAACGAAAACGTAAATACAATGAATTTAATACTAAAAAATCAGAAAGTGTCTACTAGAATATACCAAAGATCTGGTGTCACAAGTGTATGAGCAACTAGTAGAATATACAAAAATCATCTATACTACTGCCTGGAATAGATAGACAGAAAAATAAATACAAAAGAGAGACGGCGGGAGCTGCAGAACGGACACAGAGAACAACTTACCACTACGCCTCGGGGTAACAAGGGTATGCACCTGAATGACTGCCAGATGCACCTGCCTCAGATCCTGTACGATTAGTGCAAAAGTGTAGCGTGAGTACATAAACAATATGTACCCAATAAGTATCTAGTCTAACCTCGAAAAAGTAGTGACGAGGAATCGACATCGACACTTACTATGGGCGAATAAATAAAGTACAGAAATTCTAAATAGCCATGGAATACATCAATAATAATAACGCAATAATGAACAGTAAATATGTGACTCTTTGACTAGATGTCAATGAAAAGCTCCTAATTAGCACCTATTAACTTCAACAAATACGAGCCATCAAGTAAATCATTATTTCTCTAAGTCATGAAAGTAATATCAAGTGTAATCGAACTCCGAGTATTATTACGCACAATTTATGCTGAAGTCATATGATTCGATCTAGAATAATGTGTACACTACCGAGTGTCGACCGACATGAACCATAAATCATCTATTATACTGTTGAGGCGTTCGACCTACTCCAGAAGAAGAGAGAGTACTCTACGAACTCCTATTTAACGGCTACTACGAGAGTAATACACAAGGAGGCACAATTTCTACCAACAGTTAAGTAAACCGCCAAAAACTCAAAGTAAATGAAGTTCGGTCTTTACAAATTCTTTATCAAGTTTCAATATAATTTAAGCACTTAAATTAACAAGTAGAGTGCAAATAATATAAGTATTACATGATAGAGTTCTAAAATTACTCTGACATAAGCATGATTTGTAGCTACGGACAGACTCTCGTCACTTCGTGCGTACGTAGCACCCACAATTAGCAGCACATAGTAACTAAAATACCTTTGGGGTAAATTCCCTCTTACAAGGTTAGGCAAGAGACTTGCCTTGTTCCCAAGCTCACTTTTCGGTCCACAAATTCGCTCTAAAAGCCCCATGTCGATGCCGAACAATCTGAAACTAGTCAAATATTATATAAATTAATTAATATATATACTCAAAAGTTCATAATTTAGTATCTAGAGTCATAACCCAACCCAAATTGGTAGATTCCTAAAATTCGTCCTCGGGACCACGTGCCCGGATTCCGAATTTTTTTGAAGATAAATATTACCCATAGCCTCACGAACCCAAATATATAATTTTTACTCAATTCCATAATCATTTTCGTGGTCAAATCTCATTTTTATCAAAGACCTAGGCTTTTCACTAAACTTATAATTTCCACAATTTCTACGTTAAAATCTACCCATAATGCATGATATAAACTCATATTGTATAGAAATTACTTAACTCAATGTGCTTGGTGAAAATCCCTCCTCAAAGAGCTTTAAATTCGATCAACAAGTGAGAGAAATGAAGAAATGAGCCTAAGTCTCGACTTAAATGCACCCCTTCTACCCATCGGTTTTTCGCACCTGCGGAAGAGTCTCCATTTCTGCGGGACCGCTCCCGCGGTCCATTCTCCGCATCTTCGGAACACGCACGACAAGACGTACATGCGGCCAAGTCCCGCATCTACGAGACCGCTTATGCAGCTTGCCTCGCGTACCTACGACCATGGCCAGGCTGCCTCTCGTGCATCTGCGGACCCCTTCATCTCAGAAGCGAGTTCGCTTCTGCGGACCTCGCTGACTCCCCTCCATTTCACTTCTGCGAACAAGACGCCGCACCTACGGTCGTTCCTATCGTAGGTGCAAACGCACCAGATGCCAGCCACCTTCAGCTTTTCTCCAAAGAGCAATCAAGCTCCGTCGACCCTCTGAATCCTACACGGGGACCCCAGGGCCTTGACCAAACATACCAACAAGTTCGTAAACATAAAATGGACTCACTCAAACCCTCGAAACTTGTAAAACAACATCAAAACTAAGAATCGCACCCCAAAACCAAATCGAATCAACTTATGAACTTCAAGTTTTTTTTCTAACTTATTCCGAACGCGCCGAATCATACTTAAACTACTCGGAATGACACTAAATTTTGCGTACAAGTCATAAATCACCATACGGAACTATTCTCAGGCTCAAAATCCCAAACGGACCTCAATAACACCAAAAACTACTCAAAACCAAACTTAAAGAACTTAAAAACCTTTAATGCGTCAACTTTCAACATTAAGCGCTGAAATGCTTCCGGTTCATCCGAAACCCAATCCGAACACACACCCAAATCAAAAATCATCATACGAACCTATTAGGACCGTCAAATCCCGATTCCGAGGTCGTTTACTCACGTCAAACTTGGCCATTATGGGCCACTATCAAGGAACTAAGTGTTCCGATTTCAACCCGAACCCTTCCAAATCCGAACCAACCATCCCTGAATGTTATAAAGCAGTAAAGGCACGTACGAGGAGTCTTAATTAGGTGAACCGAGATTTAAAAAGAAAAATTATCGGTCGGGTCGTTATATTCTCCACCTCTTAAATAAACGTTCGTCCTCGAACGGGTCTAGAATCATACGTGGAGTGTTGAATAGGTGTGGATATATGCTCCGCATGTCCTCCTCGGTATCCCAAGTTGCCTCATCGAGTGGTTGACCCTTACACTGGACCTTTACCACATAAATCTTCTTAGACCTCAACTGGCAAACCTGCATATCAACAATGGCAACTGGATCCTCCTCAAAACCTAGGCACTCATCTAGCTGAACCATGTTGTAGTCTAACATATATGACCTGTCGGCATGATACTTCCTGGGCACAGTCACATGGAAGATCGGATGAACTCTCGATAGACTGGGAGGCAAAGCAAGCTCATAAACAACCTCCCCAACTCGCCTCAACACCTCAAATGGACCAATAAACCTTGGGCTCAACTTGCCCTTCTTCCCGAACCTCATGATTCTCTTCATCGATGACACTTTCAAGAGAACCTTCTCGCCCACCATAAATGATAAATAACGCGCCTCATGATCCGCGTAACTCTTCTATCTGGACCGTGTTGTGCAAAGTCACTCCTGAATTAACTTCACCTTCTCCAAGGCATCCTTCACTAAATCAGTGCCATATAACCTAGCCTCGCCGGGCTCAAACCATCTGATAGGCGAATGACATCGCCGACCATACAAAGCCTCAAATGGAGCCATCTCAATGTTGGACTGATAACTGTTGTTATAAGCAAACTTGGCCAAAGGCAAGAATCGATCCCACTGTCCTCCGAAGTCAATCACACATGCTCTAAGCATATCTTCCAAGATCTGAACCGTCCGCTCCGACTGCCAATCGGTCTACGGATGAAAGGTTATGCTGAGCTCTACTCGGGTACCCAACTTGCCCTGTACTGCACTCCAGAAGTGCAAAGTGAACTGAAGGCCTCTATCTGAAATGATGGAAACAGACACACCATGCAACCGAACAATCTTCTGAATGTAAATCTTGGCCAATCTCTCCGAATAGTATGTAGTCACGACCGGAATAAAGTGTGTCGACTTAATCAACCTGTCGACAATGACCTAAATGACATCAAGCTTCCTCAGCGTCCGCGACAACCCAACTATGAAGTCCATGGTGATGCGCTCCTATTTCCACTCAAGTATAACCATCTGCTAAAGTAGGCCACCTGACATCTGGTGCTCATACTTAACATGCTAGCAATTTAGGCATCTCGTTACATACTCAACTATGTCCTTCTTCATCTGCCGCCACCAATAATGTTGCCTCAGGTTGCGATACATCTTCGTAACACTTGGATGAATAGAATACCGAGAATTGTGTGCCTCCTATAGAA